TCAGCACCCCCATACTCCTCACGCCCAGGCTCAGCACCTCCAGGCTCCGCACCCCCAGGCTCAGCACCCCCAGGCTCCGCACCCCCAGCCTCAGCACCCTCAGAAGCAGTACCCCGAGCTGGACCACCCTCAGCAGGACCTGAGTCACTAGTGACCTCAACCGGCGCAGTCAAGGGAGGAGGGTCTACCTGAGACACACCTGAAGGAGCAGGACCGGGAGCGGGGAGGGGGTCTACCTGGGGAGCACCTGGAGCGAGGAAGAGCGGCGGGGGGGGGAGAGGGGCAGTGCGGTAGGGGAAGAGACGGTAAAAGGGAACCGACTCGTCGAATGTGACGTCCTGAGAGGGGAAGACACGGCGCGAGGTGGGGTGGTAAAACTGCCAACCAGGCGCGTCAGGGACAAAGACAAGGAAGATACAGGGAACAGCGCGGGCGGAGAGCTTGTCCGTAGTGGTATCGCGGACAAAGGCACAAGAACCCCAGACCCGGAACACCGACGCATCGCCAACCTTCCCCGTCCAACGCAGTGTAGGCGAGGTCTCCGGCAAGGAGACACGGGGCCAGAGGTTGAGCTGATGCGCGGCGCAGCCAGAGGTTGAGCTGATGAGCTCCGCAAACGGCCACAGAGAGTGGGGGGGCAGCCGCATGGACCATGGAGGTACGAGCGACCTCCATGACCAAGCCAATGCGGCGCTCAGCAACCCCATTCTGCTGCGGAGAGGCCGGAAGCGTGAACGTCTGGAGAATGCCCTCCCCACGACAAAAGCTCTGCAGAAGGTCGGAGGAAAACTCCCCACCTCTGTCAGAGTGCAGATGCAGGACGAGAAAATCCGTCCCGAACCGCTCGCGGAGCTGGAGACGGGCAGCGCGGATCCAAGGGATCAAAACATCAGGGACCTCACCCTTGGTGCGCAAGGGGAAGACTGTGGTGTAACGCGAGTAGTCGTCAACAACCAGCAGGAAGTACCGCTCGCGGTCCTGCCCACTGATGCGGGCTGGGCCCCACACATCCATGTGCAGGGTCTGCAGGGGAGCAGTCGTCGGGAGAAACGAGGAGGAGTGAGGAGCGGCGCGCTGCCGCCCCTCGACACAGGGAAGACAAGGAGGAGCAGGCGAGGGTGGGAGGGGAGGGAGAACCCTGGGAAGACCAGAGACAAGGACACGGCGGTGCATGCTACGAAGGCGCTGCACCGAGGGGTGACCAAGACGGTGGTGCCAAAGGAGGGTCTGGTGCGACAAAGCGCGACACGAGCAGGGGGCTGCTAGCTGACCTGACGCAGACGCAGACGCAGCGACCTGAGGGGACACAGTAGTCAGTGTGTACAGACTCGAGTCAGGCGCACGGGTAAACGTGGACAGGTGCCGGCCCGTCCGGGAGCACGTACAGTGGGTCACGCGGTGACCTCCAGGAGTGAACTGGTCAACCCACTGGTCCTGGAGGTTAGCACCACTCACCAAGTTCGTAGAGAACGAGGGGAGGTGAAGACCTGACAGGGAGCCAGACGGGACTGCCGGACACGGCAGGACCGTGGAGGAGTGCGCAAGGACTGGACCCCCAGAGGGGTCTGCCAGGGAGACTGCAACCGGCTGACTGAGCAGCGTGAGGGTGGTGCTGTCGCGAAAGAAGGAGCGGGAAGCACCTGAGTCAAGTGTGAAGGTGTACAAGGACTCAGCAGGCGCAGTACCAGAGAGAGCAGACGCACCAGCACCTGGAGCAGCAGCCTCACCAGCACCTAGAGCAGGAGACGCACTAGCACCTAGAGCAGCAGTCGCACCAGCACCTAGAGCAGGAGACGCACGAGCACCCAGAGCAGCAGCCTCACCAGCACCTCGAGCAGCAGACTCTATACCTGGGTCAGGCGGTATGCATAGGTAACAGGCACCGTCAGCACTAGTAGGCAATACATACATGGCAGTGAGAATAGCATCATAGTTAAGAGCAAAGATATCTACCCTCTGCCTAAGCAGCTCCTGCCAGGTGGGGAGCTCAGCCTCGTCGCCAAACTCGGTACGCCAGGCGTCGCTCAGACGGGCGAAGCAGCGGGACTGTGTGTGACCAAGCGTCCCGCAAGCCTGACCAGCCCGATCACCTGTGCGAATGACGTACGGGCAGCGAACGGTACTTCGAGACCCTCTACTCTGAGCGTACCACTCGTGAAGCTGCTGGGGCGTAAGTGTCTCGCGCGGGCACCACTGCAGCTGCAGCTGGCCACTGCCAGACGCTCCCAGCTGACCAGCTCCAGGGCGACAGCTGCGACGGTTACCGCCACAACCCCAACTAGCGTACCACTCACGAAGCTGCTGGGGCGTGAGAGACTCGCGCGGACGTCGCTGGAGCTGCATCTGGCCACCGCCAGTAGCAGCAGTAGCAGTAGTAGCAGCAGCAGTAGCAGCAGCAGCCTAGCAGCAGTAAGAGAAGTAGCAGCAGTAGCAGCAGTAGCAGCGTGGGCAGGGCAGGCGAGGCAGGCAGGCAGGCTGATGGCTAACAAGGCAGACGCGCGGGAAGCGCGGGTAGGGCAGGTGCTCACCAGTGGCGGGAAGGGCAGGCGCACGACGGCGGCGACGGCGGGGCCGCAACAGCGTCTGCAGAGTAGGGTCGCGTCAGGTGCAGGGCTGGGGCCACGACAGCGGCAGGGCAGGCCCGCGGCAGCTGCTGCAGGGCGGGGCCGTGTCGGCGGCAGGGCGGGGCCATGTCGGCGGCAAGGCGGGGCCAGGCCGGGCCGCGTCGGCGGCGGGGCGGGGCCGCGTCGGCAGTAGGGCGGGGCCGTGTCGGCGGCAGGGCGGGTCCAGGCGGGGCCGCGTCGGCGGCAGGGCGAGGCCGTGTCGGCGGCAGGGCGGGGCCAGGCGAGACCGCGTCGGCGACAGGGCGGGGCCGCGTCGGTGGCAGGGCGGGGCCGCGACAGTGGGAGGGCGGGGTCGCGTCGACGGCAGGGCGGGGCCGCGTCAGTGGCAGGGCGGGCCGCGACACGACGGCAGGGCAGGGCCGCGTCGGCGGGGCCGCGACCAGGCGGGGCCGCGTCGGCGTCAGGGCGGGGCCGCGACAGTTGGAGGGCGGGGCCGCGTCAACGGCAGGGCGGGGCCGCGTCCGCGGCATGGCGGGGCCGCGACAGCGGCCCGGTGGGGCCGCATCGGCTGCAGGGCGGGGCCGCGCTCTGGCCTGACGGGCCTGCAGGGGCGGCTCGCGGGTCTGACGGACCTGCCGGGGCGGCTCGCGGGCCTGACGGGTCTGCAGGGGCGGGGCGCGGGCCTGACGGGCCTGCAAGGGCGGCTCGCGGGTCTGACGGACCTGCAGGGGCGGCTCGCGGGCCTTACGGGCCTGCAGGGGCGGCTCGCGGGCCTTACGGGCCTGCAGGGGCGGCGCGGTGGCCTTACGGGTCTGTAGGGCGGTGCGGTGGCCTTACAAATGTGAAAGCCTAATGGGTTGTACCCCATGTTGGCTACCCCACTACTGCCTACACATATATGACATACATATAATTTGACACCTCATTGGTTGTTTCACCCAATGAGGCGACACCCAGTTTGTAGAAGAAGTAGTAGGCAGTGGGGGTGGCACTGAGTAGGTGTGTTGTGAATGTGATACTCTTCCAGAGCTCATGGACTTTGTGAGTGCTACTTTATTATGCCATTGTAAATAACTTAGCTCACAAAATAGTAACTGAAACGGGGTTGGCCTAAAACTACCCTGCTCAAATCAGGCTAGTGGTTGATTTACCCTGCTGCAAACAGGGTACGAAAAAAATTACCCTAGGGGTCGGGGTAAGGAGTGGCTGGAACCCTGATTTGTAAGGGTAGGCCTAAACCAATTTTGGGCCCTGACCACCAGTACTACGGTAATATTGCCATAACGGGATGGGAAAGAATCCAGACTGGATTTTTATCAACATCAAAGGGAGGGAAAGGACAGAAGGGACGACAGTGATAGCTAGCGGAATAGGGGGAGAGGAAGGAAAGTACGGTAGGGAGAGGGAGGCGGAGAGGCAGAAAACTACCGTATTCTTCAGGATAAAACACCCTAGGGTATTATGAAAACCACTGGAAAAAATGGGGGGGGGTCTCCTCAAAGGAAAATCCTACATATGGTAATATCCGGGTCTTATTACATGGTATACTTTTTATCAAGCAGAAAAGATGTGAAACAAAATTTGCCAGCATGGCAACAGCGAGATTGTGGGAGGGGGGAAATCTCGGCAGATTTTAAGTGAAAGTACATGCGAAATTTCTTCTAGGGAGCGATTCTCGCGATATCCTCCTGTAAGAAATCGGACTCGATAACAGCTATAGTAGGAATCTATGAGAAAAGTGGGTTTTTATAGAAAATCACCCCAAAAGGGGGGGTATAGTACAAACGAGGTCGATTATAACACCCACCCCACACAAGCTACCCGGGGGTGTACAATTTCGGGGGGGTATTTTATCCGGGAGAATACGGTACTTGCTGCCTGCCTGACTGCAAGTTTTGACCATCCAAGGCATTTCTTCCGATGCCATGCAGCTGGGTTTCAACCTTCATGGCCCTCTTCCAGTACTTCAATCTGACTTCACATCTTTCTTGGACTTGGAAATCTTGAAATCCTTCTAGCCAGAGCCTCCAAGTTCCCACAGAAGGCACTTGAAGGATTTGGCTATACCATAGGGAAGAGATCTGTTGAGAGAAAGATAAAAAATTGAAGAACGCAGAAAGTTGGTGTTAATGCATATGATGTGGGATAATGGCTACAAAGAGTGCGAACATGAGGGCTGGAGACAGAAAAGTTAAAGCACTGGAGGGCAGACATAAGCAAAAGACCAGCCAAGAGGGACAGGGAGAGGGAGAGGGGGGGGAGGGAGAGGGAGGCGGGAAGGGGAGGGGGAGAGCAAGAGGGAGGGGGAGAGGGAGAGAGAGAAGGGGGGGGGGGGGGGGAGGGGAGAGAGAGAGAGAGAGAGAGAGAGAGAGAGAGAGAGAGAGAGAGAGAGAGAGAGAGAGAGAGAGAGAGAGAGAGAGAGAGAGAGAGACTCACTCAACCGGTACGTCTTCAACGGCACTGCCAGAGGTCACCTCTCTTCTTATTGGCCATCCATCACAGTTCGGCCAAAGGTAAAAGTTGACCACCACGCATGGAAAGTGCGATTCAGGAGCATGATACAGATAGCCAGCCGACTTGGCAGAGGCGACAACCGCGTCAGGGATGGTGACACAAGTGAAGGGCTTCAGGCGGAAGACATAAGGAGGGTTTGTTGTTGTGCCAAAGTTGACCTCACTAAAGACGCTGATGGCGACGTCTGCCACATCAGGAACGAGGCCTGTGAGGACATTGGATGTAGGGAAGTGTTGGATAAAATATTGGGTGTTACTGTGACGAGGCAGACACGCAAGGCAGCAGTGAAAAGGGGGAATGAGAGTTGGTGTTACTGTGACGGAGAGAGGAGGACAATGAGAATGCATGCGTGAGAAAAAAGATAGAGACAAAATGTAAGATTGCTATAAAGATGCTGGCACTAAATGTTTCTTTCAAACGAAGGTGATACAGCAACTGCATCATAAGCATTACCCTGGTGATCGCATACTGCATGCACAGCCTGCAGGAACTAGTGTACCCACCTGGCATGCAGGTACCAGAGCGCATGTTAAAGCCAGGGGCGCAGTGAGTGTATGGTAGGGATGTCAAACTCATATACTATAGTCTGTGTAGGCTGTAGTAGGGTAGATAATATGGGGTACAACACTTTTAGGTTTTCCTACTTGTACCCACCTGCTTGCTAGTTCATTCATTCCTTCCTCATTTATTCACATGGTATAGAGCAGGTTCCCTAGTGGGAACGCTTCTCAGGGCCCACCACTGAAATTATTTTTTCCTGACCGGAGCGCGAGTCGCCCCTGCCCGAGGCACGCCCCTTTGGCCGCCCTCACGTCGCCTCTCACGGCCCCCTCGCGCCACCCTTAGCGGCCCCGTCGCCACCCCTTACGGCCCCGTCGCCATCCTTTGCGGCCCCGTCGCCGCCCCCTCTAGGCCCCTCGCGGCCCCTTCGCGGCCCCGTCGCCGCCCCTAGCGGCCCCGTCGCCGCCCTTCGAGGCCCCTCTCGGCCCCTTTGCGGCCCTGTCGCCGCCCCTAGCGGCCCCGTCGCCGCCCCTATCGGCCCCGTCGCCGCCCCTATCGGCCCCGTCGCCGCCTCTAACGGCCCCGTAGCCGCTCCTACCGGCCCCGTCGCCGCCCTTTGAGGCCCCTCGCGGCCCCTTCGCGACCCCGTCGCCGCCCCTAGCGACCCCGTCGCAGCCCTTCGAGGCCCCTCTCGGCCCCTTTGCGGCCCCGTCGCCGCCCCTAGCGGCCCCGTCGCCGCCCCTATCGGCCCCGTCGCCGCTCCTAGCGGCCCCGTCGCCGCCCCTATCGGCCCCGTCGCCGCCCCTAGCGGCCCCGTCGCCGCCCTACACGCCCCCCCTTCAACTGCCAAGCGGCCGAACCACCGAGCCGCCGAGCCGCCCAGCAGCCGAGCCGCCCAGCAGCCGCGCCGCCCAGCAGCCGAGCCGCCCAGCAGCCGAGCCGCCCAGCAGCCGAGCCGCCCAGCAGCCGAGCCGCCCAGCAGCCGAGCCGCCCAATAGCCGAGCCACCCAGCAGCCGAGCCGCCCAGCAGCCGAGCCGCCCAACAGCCGAGCCGCCCAGCAGCCGAGCCGCCCAGCAGCCGAGCCGCCCAGCTGCCGAGCCGCCGAGCCGCCGTCGAGCCGCTACTGTTCCTACCGGCGTGCACCGGCCCTTCCCACCCGGACTGGTGAGAGCACTCCCTGTTAGACGACTGCTGTCATGGCTACCCCCAGTGTCCTTACCTTTGATGCTGAGGGTCGTGCTGTTGACTTTGAGGTCTGGGTCGATAACCTCCAGCTCTTCCTACAGTGCGATAGGGCAGACGGACTCTCCCTGTTTGATCTCACCTCTGGTGCCTCTCCTGCCCCGCCTGCTACTGCTGACAGCACTGTTCGCTCACAGTGGGCCACACGCGATGCTGCTGCCCGTCTTGCTGTGCGTCGCCACTTACCGACCGCTGAGCGTGCGCACTTTAGTCAGTACAAGAGTGCTAAGACCTTGTACGACGCTGTAGTTGCACGCTACTCTTCCCCTGCCACTGCTGCTCTTAGCCGCCTCATGCTGCCGTACCTGTTCCCTGACCTTGCTGCCTTTCCCACAGTCGCTGACCTCATTACGCACCTTCGCACTAGTGACACTCGCTACCGCGCTGCGCTTCCTGCTGAGTTCTGTGCCAAGAACCCTCCCCCTATGTACATCACCCTCTACTACATAGTCACCCGACTCCCTGACTCCCTTCACTTAGTCAGGGACCACTTCCTCTCAGTTTGCCCCACCACACTCACCGTTGACCTCCTCGAGGAGCGCCTCCTAGCAGCAGAGAAGAGCATAGTCGCTGTAGGAGCCTCTCGTGGTGACCCTCGTACCCCCGTCTTTGAGGGGTGTTCCCCCTCCCCCCTCTTGCCCTCTGTTGCTTCTGCTGCTGCGGCCGACCTCGTTGGTTTCGAGTCGGTCGGCGCTGCGTCTGCCCCTAGCGGGAGATGCCGCATAGGCAAGGGCAAGGGGGGCAAGGGCGCTGGAGGGGCTGGCGGCGGCGGTGGAGGTGGCGGTGGAGGCAGTGGAGGGGGTGGGGGTGGTGGTGGGAGTGGTGGCGGGGGTGGAGGTGTCGGTGGCAGCAGTGGAGGCGGAGGAGGCGGCGGCGGTGGCGGTGGGAGCGGAGGCGGCGGAGGCGGCGGCGGCGGCGGCGGCGGTGGAACTGGTCGCGGCTCTGCACAGAGGATTGGCTCCAGTGGTGGTCAGCGCCAGCAGCAGCAGCGCACTCGTGAGACCCCGTCCCCCCAGCAGCTTCGTGAGTGGTACGCTGCGCGTCAGCGAGGTGGGGGTACTGGTCCCTGTACCTACGTCCTCCGTACCGGCGACCGCGCTGGTGAGCAGTGCGGGGGTTCGCACTCCACCCAGCGCTGCTTCGGCCACCTGACGGACGCTTGGCGTCACCAGTTCCCTGACGCCACTGAGATCCCTCGCTGGGGAGAGCTGTCTAGGGCGGGGGTTGCTATCTTTGATCTTGACTATGATGCTATTCTTGCTGCCATGTATGCTGTGTCTGCTAGTGATGAGGGTGACTGTTACCTGTGTGTTCCGCCTGACCCGGGCATTGAGGCTGCTGCTCTAGGTGCTGGTGAGGCTGCTGCTCTAGGTGCTGGTGAGGCTGCTGCTCTAGGTGCTAGTGCGTCTGCTGCCCCAGGTGCTGGCGAGTCTGCTCTCTCAGGTACCACGTCGTCTCAGGCCTTACACACCTTCACCCTTAACTCGGGTGCTTCCCGCTCCTTCTTTCGAGACCACACCACGCTTACGCCGCTTAGTCGGCTGGTTGCGGTCTCCCTGGCGGACCCCTCTGGGGGTCCTGTCCTTGCTCGCTTCTCCACTGTCTTACCGTGTCCGGCAGCCCCCTCTGGCACCCTGTCAGGTCTCTACCTCCCCTCGTTCTCTACGAACTTGGTGAGTGGTGCTGACCTACAGGATGGGGGGGTTGACCAGTTCACTCCTGCGAGTCAGCGGGTGACCCACTGCACGTGTGCTCGGACGGGCCGACACTTGGCCACGTTTACTCAAGCCTGTACACACTGACTACTGAGTCTGCTCCGGTTGCTGAGTCTGGTCAGGTAGCTGCGTTGAGTCAGGTGTTTACTACAGAGTCCAGGTCTGGTCCTGAGTCTGCTCCCTGCTCGTGTCGTCTCCTGTCCCACCAGACTCTCCTTTGGCACCACCGCCTTGGTCACCCCTCCCTGCCTCGTCTCCGAGGCATGGCCTCCCGTGTTCTTGTCTCTGGTCTCCCCCGGTCCCTCCCTCCCCTCCCTCCGGGGCCTGCGTCTGCACTCTGACAGAGGCGGGGAGTTTTCCTCTGCCCGTCTGGGAGCCTTCTGTCGTGCACAAGGCATCCGCCAGACCTTCACGCTTCCGGCCTCTCCACAGCAAAATGGGATTGCTGAGCGCCGCATTGGCATGGTCATGGACGTCGCTCGTACGTCCATGATCCATGCGGCTGCTCCCCATTTTCTGTGGCCGTTTGCGGTTCAGTACGCAGCGCATCAGCTCAACCTTCAGCCACGGGTCTCCTTGCCAGAGACCTCCCCCACCTTGCGGTGGACGGGGAAGGTTGGCGATGCATCTGCGTTTCGGTTCTGGGGATCTCGGGCGTTTGTCCGCGACTTGTCTGCGGACAAGCTGTCCCCCCGTGCTGTTCCCTGCGTCTTCCTTGGCTTCCCCCCTGACGCGCCTGGTTGGCAGTTTTACCACCCCACCTCGCGCCGTGTTCTGTCCTCCCAGGACGTCACCTTTGACGAGTCGGTGCCTTACTACCGTCTCTTCCCCTACCGCACTGCGCCCCTCCCCCCGCCGCCGCTCTTCCTTGCGCCAGGTCCTCCCTCGGTAGACCCTCTCCCCCCTCAGGGTCCTGCCCCGTCAGGTGTGTCCCAGGTAGACGCAGTCGAGCCTGTCGAGGTAGCTGTTGACTCTGGTGCTGCTAGGGGTGCTGAGCCTGCGGGTGCCGGGTCTGGGGGTGCTGAGCCTGGGGGTGCGGAGCCTGGGAGTGCTGAGTCTAGGGGTGCTGAGCCTGTGGGTGCCGGGTCTGGGGGTGCTGAGCCTGGGGGTGCTGAGCCTGGGGGTGCGGAGCCTGGGGGTGCGGAGCCTGGGGGTGCTGGGTCTGCTTTGTCGAGGCGGGAGCTACACTCTCCGCAGGAGCTGCGCGAGTGGTTTGCCCGCCGCTGGAGCCGTGCTGCTGGACCTGGAGGTACTACTGTTGGTGCTGGTCCTGGAGGTGCTCGTACTGGCGGTACTGGAGCTGCTGGGACTAGGGGTGCTGCTGGGGCTGCTGGAGTTAGTCCTGCTGGAGGTACTGCTGGAGCTGCTGGTGGTGCTTGAGCTGACGGTCCTGCTGGAGTTCGTGGTGCTGGAGCTGCTGGAGCTGGAGCTGCTGGGGGTGTTGGCGCTGGTGGTTCTGCTGGCGCTGGTGCTTCTGAGGGTGCTGGAGTTGGCGCTGTTGGAGCTGGAGGTGCTGCTGGCGCTGGTGCTGCCGCTGGGGGTACTGGTGCTGTCCCTTCTGGTTCTGGAGGCGCTGCGCGGCCGAGGCCGTACTTCGTTCCGCTCCTTGAGCAGGTTCTTGGTCTCCCGCCCTCTACTGGTCCTGCTCCTCCCTTAGAGTGTCCACAGCCTGTCCAGTCGCGGTCACAGTTACAGCCCGCCTCCCCCCTACCTGCTCCTTCTCCCTACACCGGTCCTACTGGAGGTCTTGCTGAGCATCGTGAGCCTGCGTCTCGTCCTGCGTCGCCTGTTCATGCTGCTCGCACTAGTGGTCGTGCTCCGCGTCCGCGTCCTCCTGCGGTCCCCGGCACACACCAGATGGCACTGCGTCCTTCCACTGCTCCTCTGCGTGTCCCGTTGCCGTCTCCTCCAGAGTCCTCTCTTCCTACTCTTGCTGACCCGGAGTCTGACTCTCTTCGTGCTGCCAGTCCTACTGTCACGCGTCTCCTGGCTACTGTTGTCACTGACCCATCTTTTGAGTCCACTGCTGCGTCTGCCTTAGTTGCTGAGCTTGTCGACTTTGCTGCTCGCTGTCGTCTAGACTACGCTGCTAGTCTTGTTGCTGAGTCTGAGTCTGTCTGTCCTCCGTCCGTCGGGGGTGAGTGTGCTCTTAGCACGGACGTCCTTGAGGACAGGCAGGAGGAGTTCCAGTGTTTTGCTGCTACTTTGCCTCATCTCGTGTCCACGCTGATTGCCCCTGAGGGAGACCCGGATGCACCAGACATTCCGACTCCTCGATCGTACGCTGAGGCGATCGAGGGTCCCTACTCCTCACAGTGGCAGTCAGCCATGGACGCAGAGATGGCTTCCTGGAAGTCCACAGGCACCTACGTTGACGAGGTTCCCCCACCTGGGGCGAACATCGTCAGTGGCATGTGGATTTTCAGGGTGAAGCGGCCGCCGGGTTCTCCGCCTGTCTTCAAGGCGCGTTACGTGGCTCGAGGCTTCAGTCAGCGGCAGGGAGTTGACTACTTTCAGACCTTCTCTCCCACCCCGAAGATGACCACTCTTCGGGTGCTGCTGCACATAGCCGCTCAGCGCGACTACGAGCTTCACTCTCTTGACTTCAGCACAGCTTTCCTGCAGGGCAGCCTGCACGAGGAGATCTGGCTGCGCCGCCCACCTGGCTTCACTGGGTCGTTTCCTCCTGGTACCCAGTGGAGCCTCCGGCGGCCAGTCTACGGTCTCCGCCAGGCGCCCCGTGAGTGGCACGACACACTGTGGACTACACTTGCGGCTCTTGGGTTTGCTCCGTCTACTGCCGACCCGTCGCTGTTTCTGCGCACCGACACCTCTTTGCCGCCGTTCTACATCCTCGTGTGCGTCGACGACTTGGTCTTTGCCACTGCTGACACTGCTGGACTCGCCCACGTGAAGTCCGAGCTGCAGAAGAGACACACGTGCACAGACCTGGGTGAACTGCGCAGCTACCTTGGCTTGCAGATCACCCGGGACAGAGCACAGCGCACCATTACCCTGACTCAGTCACACATGGTGCAGCAGGTCCTTCAGCGCTTCGACTTCACGTACTCCTCGCCTCAGGCCACTCCTCTGTCTACTCGCCACTCGCTCTCAGCTCTGCCTTCGGATGAGTCCGTAGAGCCGAGTGGCCCGTACCCAGAGCTTGTTGGCTGCCTCATGTACCTGACGACCTGCACACGACCTGACCTAGCATACCCTCTTAGCATCTTGGCACGCTATGTTGCTCCTGGGAGACACCGACCAGAGCACATGGCTGCAGCGAAGAGGGTGTTGCGCTATTTGTGCAGTACGTCGGGCATGGGGCTAGTGCTTGGGGGGCCACGTCCAGTGGTCCTCACAGGTCACGCAGACGCTTCTTGGGCTGACGACCAGGCTACGCAGCGGTCGTCACAAGGTTACACCTTTAGCCTTGGCTCCGGCTCTGTTTCGTGGCGGTCTACCCGCTCGTCTTCTGTTCTCGGCTCCAGCTGTGAGGCTGAGATCTACGCGGGGGCCATGGCTGCACAGGAGCTACGCTGGCTCACCTACCTGCTGACTGACCTAGGAGAGCCGCCTCGTTCTCCTCCAGTTCTGTACGTAGACAACAAGGCCATGCTGGCCTTGTGTCGGGAGCACAGACTGGAGCACAGAACGAAGCACATTGCTCTTCGCTACTTCCTTGCTCGTGAGCTGCAGCAGCGTGGTCAGCTGCGCCTTGCTTACGTGGCCTCTGAGGCCAACACTGCTGATATCTTTACCAAGGCACTTCCGCCTTGTGATCATCAGCGCTTCTGTACGATGCTAGGTCTTGTGCCTACTTGGCCTCACTTGCTCACTTCTTGACCTTGCTTGTACTGTGATCTTTCTATACCTGCACTTGCTTGTTTACCTTTATATATGATCTTGCATGTGAACTGGCCTTGTGGCCTTGCTCTTGTGCTCGGACTGTGTGGTGACGTTGTGATCCACCCTGAGCTTGCTTTGCTTTGCTTGACTGGTCTTGTGACCTCTTGTTCTCCCCCACTTTGCCTATGGGGGTGTGTCAAACTCATATACTATAGTCTGTGTAGGCTGTAGTGGGGTAGACAATATGGGGTACAACACTTTTAGGTTTTCCTACTTGTACCCACCTGCTTGCTAGTTTATTCATTCCTTCCTCATTTATTCACAAGGGAATCTTTGCCCCAGGTGCTTATAAGGCAGTTTTTGCATTGGCCTTGTCCTGTAGGCAGCATCGGGGTTGAGGAAATAATGGAAGACGAGGGATTGGTGACTCTTGTGCATGACGGAATTTCCGAAAGGAAAAAAGTTAAGAACGGGTGTGATTTACGCGGGAGAACAAGGAAGCAAGAGCGGGGTTGGGGGACGGGGGAGGAAGGGGGATGGGATAGGATGGGGACAGAGTATGGAGAGGGATTGTGTGGAGATGGAAAGAGTGAAAAGGAAGGTGAAAGGGTGAGAGAGAGAGTGACACAGAAAAGAGAGACACATAGAGAGTGACACAGAGAGTGACACAGAGAGAGTGATACAGAGTGACACAGAGAGAGTGACGCACCAAAACACACATACCAATGCAACTCCCCGAGGCTCCCTCCAGCTTGTAACCCTGCTTGCAATCACAATATGGTTCGTAGTTAGGTAGCTTGACGCAAGTGCCGCCCTCGCCACAATCCTTGATAGAGCATGGCTCTGCATGGTGCGAAAAAACAATGGCAGATTGAATACGAGTGTGCAAGCTTCGTCACAATGGAAAGCATTCGACGTGTGCTATGCTACGGGTGCCACGGTTTTTTAATGTTAAGTCCAGTCGCAAGTAAATTCGCCAATGGCGCGCTTTGAGCATGCTGTAAATACTAGGGTGCGGAAACATCAGGGACAGGCCGGGATGCGGGTGAGAGTTGGGGATAGAGAGTGATGGGTGGGAGAGCGAAGGGAGAAGAAACGAGTGGGGAAAGTGAATGAATGAAACATCAAGCTGACCAAGCAAGGGCCTTAAACAGAAGGGAAAAGAGAATGGTGAGTGGGTGGGAGCGACGAGAGTAGGAACTAAGGCAGGGGGGAGAGAGAGGTAGGGAGAGAGAGGGAGAGAAATGGAGAAAGAGGGAGAGTGTGGGAGAGAGAGAGAGGGAGAGAGAGGGAGAAAGAGGGAGAGAGTGGGAGAGAGAGAGAGGGAGAGAGTTGCGTTCAGGATGGCACACAAGGGTGTAGTCACGCAAGCGTGGATGGATGGAAGGGCAAGACCCAGCTTGCATGATCCCCGGCATGGCATGGCGGCGACTCACCAACGCATTTGCCGCTGCCGTCCTTAGTCATGACCAGTCCAGGGTCGCAAATGCACTGAGCGAAGCCGTGGGTTAAGGAGCAGGTGGAGTTGGGCGGGCATGCTGCCAAGGCACAGAGGTCCGTGCCATGCGGCAGAGTGGCAACCAAACACGAGAACGACCGGGTATTGACGTTTATGCTTGTTGTCGTCCTGCACACGCGTCCCAACAGCCAACACAAGCAGAGTCACGGTCAACGCAGGATCATCCTAAACCTGAAAACACTGCAAGGGCCGCATGATTGTTGTCGCGGCGCCATGGACTGTGCGATTTTCTTGTCACTTGCACACTGCTGAGGGTATGCGGTGGCACTCAGGCGTACGAGTCGTCGACGTTGAACTGTTGAGGGTTGACTTTGTGCCAACCGTAGCGTATCTCGAGCGTATTATTCGAGCCCGTGCAGTCAGGGTGCTCCCAGAACACGAGCTTTTCGCACACGAGGTGATCCGGCACTCCGTCATTCACGTTCCACAATATCTCCACACGCCCTAATGTGTCGTTGAACGACTTTGGCAGGCTCACGCAGGCCGAAGTGTTCGGTGCCGGCGCGCGCCGCACCCGGGGGCTTCCACGTCGCTGGCGTTGACTTTGCGGTTGGCGCTTTTGTAGACCGCCACGCTCGTGCCCACTGCCGTCCAGTTCTTGGCGTGGGCGCATTCGCCGTTGATTATGGCCTGCCCGGCCGGGCACTTGCAAAAAGGGCTGCTCCAGGGATCCGTCACGCACGACGCCCCTGCCGGGAAGACAATGCCGCGGGGGCACTCGGCTGGGGAGGAGGGGAAGTGGCACGGGCGTGTGGAATAGTAGGGGGCATGGAGAAATTAATTAAACTCCGAGTATAAACATTTTGGGATGGATGGGCATGATGGGTGACTAAGAAAAACACGGTTCGGATGCGGCTCGACGGTCGAGAGACGACTGGGACGACTGCGGCACGACTGCGTCGTCGGACGCTCACCAGGCGCCTTGGCCGATAACTCGCGGCGGGTGCTTGCTTCACTGAGAGGCCGGATGCGGGCCGCGACGAGACCAATCGGCGATGAGAGGCACGCCGCGTGCAGCAGCAGTGCAAACACGACGGCCGTCCGAGAATAAGCTATTCTCGCAGTGTGTATAAAAAAGTGGGAGCGCCGAGGTCAGATCAAGCAGCAGCAGGCTCATTTGAAGTTGAGAAAATGCTAGGCAGCCTGATTTGAGCTTTTCTGTGTTGCGGATGGGCTGTGGGTGGGGGTTCGCAGTCGTAATCCAGTGAGCGAGTGAGTGATCGGCGCGGCAGGTGGTTGACTAATTTCGGCTTACCAGAGATGCCGCCATCCTAGGAGCCCATACCAGCGACGTTGGCGGCACTCCATATGAACCTAACGCTGCCATTCGTGTGAACCACATTCGGCGCAGACTGTACTGTACGCCAGGTGTCAGCGCCAGCTGGCATCGCAAGCGAGCTTCCACTCGCGGGCAAACAAAAAGGTCAAACCTGTTCGGACGGGATCCCTTCGGGAGGATCAACTTTAGTCCTGTACAGTAAACGCCTTGCCGTAAGGTGCGCTGAAGTTATTCCCCAACTCGCGGTGATGAAGAACGCAGTAAAACGCCAACGTCATCTAGCGCTGCCTGTGGGCAAAGCAAAGAAACCTTTACGCGTGGCAAACGCCCTTTGCGAGGCATCCCTAAACAACTAAGGTACAAAGGACGAATGGGTGGTGACGAAGGACGACATAGGGCGGCAACGTAGCGGTGGCCTTTGTCTGCAAATGAAGAATGTACTACTTTGGTGCCCCCGTGAAATAGCAACGTTGACATTTGTTGTGTTTGGGTGAGGGCGGGTCAGACCTGATTCGTTTTCAGTTCGCGCATCACTGTTCAGATTGGTGGGTATTGGTTCAGAGCGGTGAAAATCACGTACCGCCCTAGAATGCACAGCATTGCACACCACCGCTTCTATTGAACCGAGATCGAGCTACCAAGTCTGATCTGCCCTAACCATTTCACGGTGCATCACAAAGTAGGTTGACACGTCGCGATTGACGACGTGCGCGACCTTGTTACACACGATGCGCTGAAACTCTGGTTCGCCCATATTCTGAACTGTTCCGAGTTATCAAAATGTTCGCCCTAAGAATAATGCCCTATGTTCGCCCTATAACGACAAAGCAGCCGTCGAACTTAGCAATTCAATAACCACAGACTAATGTTAATGCTGAAGACATTTATAACGCAACACGACTGTCCCCACCAAGTTGCCTGCCCAATCGCCCAGAGCAGTCAAGACCAATTCGTTTCGCGCCTAAAATTGATATCTTCCAATGCAAGCCACTCAAATGACATACCTGGCTGTCAAGGCTGACGTATTCTAGCATGCTGACGTGGAGCGCATTCCATGGCTGTCCCGCTTTCTACCCTCACATTCCTATGCCTCTCGCTCAACCTCACAGTCTGCCACGTCTACAAGGCCTCGCTGGCCACGTGTACAGCCAGTGACACATCAGCAACGCACACCTGTCCCTGTCCCCCATGGACGGCTGTAGTAAGCGCCACGTGGCCGCGGAGCGAAGACAGCGCCGCCGCGTGCAGCCAGAGGCTACTCGTCCGCGCAGCCTCTGCCATCTCCGCCACTGCGCGCGACATTGCGCGGGAAGGGGGCGGTAGCAGGTGCGCGAGTGCTGTAGCGCGTGCCATTGCGTGGGAGAGGGGGAGTAGCAGGTGCGCGTGTGACACTTTTAGCGCGCGCACAGGGCGTCACAGAGATGCGCATGTTCGCATGGCGCATGGTATCTTTGCGATGCTTCTGAGATGCTTCTGAAGGCTCTGAGCCTGTGGAATTGAGCGCTCGAATCTACGCGTCTTCCCCGCCGACACACCCTCCCCCCTCCCTTTCAGCCTCCCCCTCTCCCCGTCCCCACTTCCTCCCCCATTCCCCCACCCCTCCCCCCTGCCCCATTCCCCCCTCTTCCCGCCGCCCCCGCACCTCTCTATCCAAACATCTTTCCCATTCAACCTGTGCTGTCGCACCGCCAGCTGGCTGCCTCTGATTGGCCGAGAACCGTCGTTTCTGTCGGAGCGGTGGAGCGAGCAGCTGCTGCAGGGCAGCCCGTGGCGTGCCACGTGTCCCTCGCCCTTCCTCAGATCGGGTGAGCGGGGGGAGAAGGGAAGGGAGAGAAACGGGTGGGAATTGTGGGAGCGGGTGCGGGAGGGTGGACGAGAGAATGACGGAGGAGAAGGGCGGACAGGAGGGACGTTAGCAGGGGTGGGAATGTTGTGCTGCTATCAGATGGGGTGAGGTTGGGAGGTCGCATTGCATGGCATTGATCGCATGGCATTGATCGCATGGCATTGATGGCATGGCATTGATCGCATGGCATTGATCGCATGGCACTGATCGCATGGCATTGATCGCATGGCATTGATCGCATGGCACTGATCGCATGGCATTGATCGCATGGCATTGATCGCATGGCATTGATCGCATGGCACTGATCGCATGGCACTGATCGCATGGCATTGATTGCATGGCATTGATCGCATGGCATTGATCACTTGGGGGCTGTACTGATTCCCGTCTGCACGGCATGGCATCCTTTCATTCCCTTCTCCCTCGCACTTACTCTCCCTCTCCTCCGTCTCCCTCATTTCCCCGCTCTCCCTCTTCCTCTTTCTCCCTCCCCTCCCCCCCCCCACCCCATATCCCTATCAGGTGTCTCTCTCCGCCTGCTGCCTTCCCCCAGCCTCCCCGTGCAAGGGGAAGGGGCGCAGCGCGGGGGCAGCTGGGAGGGGGGAGCGGCGTGCGCGGAGGGGGGAGTGCTTTGGGGAGGGGAGGCAGCTGAGGAGATATGTGTGATTGTATTGAGGGGTGAAAGAGGGAGAGGGCGGAGGGGTGGAGAGGGAAGGAGGGGGCGATGGGAAAGTGATGAAGCTTGGAGGGATGGAGCAGCAGAGGGGATGGGTGAGGGTGTGGGTGGGGGAAGAGAAGTAGAGAAGACCGAACAGAGCACTTTGGACCTTTCAAGGCAAGAGAGAGGGGAGGAACGGAGGAAAGAGCGAGTGGAGGAGCGTGTGAGAGTGAAAGGGAAGGGAGGGAAGGAGAAGAAGGCAGGGAAAAAAGGAAAGGAGAAGAAGGAAGAGAAGAGAGGGAAGGAGAAGAAGGAAGAGAAGAAGAAGAAGAAACGGAGTGAAGAGAAGGAGAAGAAGGAAAGGAAAAGAGGGAAGGAATTAAAGGAAGGGAGTGGAGGGAAGGAGAAGAGAGAGAAGGAAGAAACAGCAGGGAAGGAAGGGAAGGAAAGGAAGGAAGGGGAGGAAAGGAAGGGAGGGAAGGAAGGGAAAGACAAGAGGGAAGGGAAGGAAGGGAAGGAAAGGAAGGAAGGGGAGGAAAGGAAGGAAGGGGAGGAAAGGAAGGAAGGGAAGGAAGGGAAAGACAAGAGGGAAGGGAAGGAAGGGAAGGAGAAGAAAAGAGGGAAAGAAGGAATTCCAACGCAAGGAAGGTCAAGAGGCAGCAGCAAGGCAGCACCTTCTGACGATGACCCTCATGCTCTCATAAAGCTGGTATGTTTATCGACTCCCTCATGTGCCTGCCTTTGCTCGTGCACTTCCTCTTCTCCTCTGCTGATATGCACAGCAAAGGCGGGCTGATGTGATGTGAGGATGCACCACGATCGCATGCCTTCCTGCTTCCTATCTTCAACGCGGTGCCATGCTGCTTCGTCAAAGGAGCTTTACTGTGGCTCGTCTGCAACCCATTCTCATCGTCTGCAACCCATTCTCATCGTCTGCAACCCATTCTCATCGTCTGCAACCCATTCTCATCGTCTGCAACCCATTCTCATCGTCTGCAACCCATTCTCATCGCCTGCAACCCATTCTCATCGCCTGCAACCCATTCTCATCGCCTGCAACCCATTCTCGTCGCCTGCAACCCATTCTCATCGCCTGCAACCCATTCTCATCGCCTGCAACCCTTCAAGCTGCTTTGACAGAGTCAAATCCTTTCACTTCCGTTCCTTGCCCAACCCCCCCAATCAGGGCGAGTCTCAGATGGTGTCCAATCAGATCCAAGCGGCACTGGACTCGTTCAGCCGGGCCGTTGCTCTGATACCAAACGATGCGGAGGCGTGGCGGCTGCAGGGGTGGGGGCACAAGGAGGCCGGCAACTGGCGCGAGGCAGAGGCGAGCTTCAGTAGGAGCGTTCAGCTGAATGAGAGGTGCGGCCGTTGCATTGTGAGGCGTCTTGGAAATACATGTTTCAGAACCTGTGGCGGCTGCAGGGGTGGGGGCAAAAGGAGGCCGGCAACAGGCGCGAGGCAGAGGCGAGCTTCAGTAGGAGCGTTCAGCTGAATGAGAGGTGCGGCCGTTGCATTGTGAGGCGTCTTGGAAATACATGTTTCAGAACCTGTGGCGGCTGCAGGGGTGGGGGCACAAGGAGGCCGGCAACAGGCGCGAGGCAGAGGCGAGCTTCAGTAGGAGCGTTCAGCTGAATGAGAGGTGCGCCTGTTGAGAGTGCTAGGTGTTGATGCTATGTGTGATGCATGCGTGTGTGTATGCATGCATGCGTGTGAAAGCATGAAGTGACAGATGAAACGGGTTTTTGTTCGCCCCCGTCTGCCTCTCTTTGTCATTGTTCCTTCCGCAGGCTCAGCCCTCATCAGTCCTCCGCCGTTTCGTTAGTTTTCCGTATCACTCTAATGAAACCCTTCCATCTATCTCTCCATCTCGTTCCCCTCGCCTCCCTGCTGCTGTTTCCTTGCAGTTTCCTTCCTGCACTGATCATGTGGGTGGAGCTGAGGCATGTAGCAGGAGACCACAGGTGCGGTCAGATAGGAAGGAAGGAGTTAGAGGGGAGAAGAGGGAGGTTTGGGGGGTGTTTTTGATGAGCCTCGAAAGTTGATCTTGTGGGTGGAGCTGAGGCACGTGGCAGGCGACCAGAGGTGCGGATAGGAAGGCAGGGGGAAATGAGGATGTGGTGTGGGGGGGCAGGAGGGGGGGGGGGGGAGGATGAAGGGGGAGTGAGCCTCTGTGAGGCTCCTCAAAGCTTGATCAACTGGGTGGAGCTGAGGCATGTGGCAGGCGACCACAGGTGCGGACAGGAACGGGGGGCGGAAGAGGGATGAAAGGGACGAGGCAGGTGTTTTGAGATGGGGTTGGTTGCCACATGCCTCAAAAGTTGAGCATGTGGGTGGAGCTGAAGCACGTCGCAGGCGACCACAGGTGCGGATAGAAAGGAAGGGAGTGGGGAGGAGGGAGGAGGGGGAAGAAGGAAAGACGGACGGGCGACGAGGAAAGAGAGGGGAACTGGAAAGAAGTGGGATGGGGAAATATAGAGGGTTGAGAGAGGGGCGTCTTTTGAGGCGCCTCGAAAGTTTATTGATTGGGTGAAGCTGAGGTGAGGTGGGGCATCCAGCAAGCAGCCAAAAAGTTCCTTGTCAGACAGGGATCTGCCTCTCTAAGAAATTCCTTCAATCTCCCCACTTGCTCGCTCCCCCAATCCCCACCTGCCACTCTCACAACAGCTCTGTGAAGAGCTGTCTTCGCCTTGTCGCTTGACCATATGTTCTCAAATCAACCACCTCGCCGCCCCTCTCTGTCGTTCCCGGACTCCTACATCCCTCAGGGGCGCGTTGCAGCTGCTGGAGAGGGCACTGCAGCGACACCCGGCAAGCGTGCAGCTCAGATGCCTTGAGGCCTCCTGCCACCACGCTCTTGGGAACGAACTGTCCTCCCGTTGTAGTCTATCCTCTATGTTCTCAACTCAAACCCCTCACCATCTCTCTTTCTATTCCGGGCACCCTCAATCCCTCAGGGGCGCGTTGCAGCTGCTGGAGGCGGCACTGCAGCACCACCCGGCAAGCGTGCAGCTCAGATACCTCGAGGCCTCCTGCCACCACGCTGTTGGCAACTTTGTTCAAAGCGTAAGCCCTGATGGCACTATAAGCCCTGCTGGCACTGTAAGCCCTGATGGCACTATAAGCCCTGCTGGCACTGTAAGCCCTGCTGGCACTGTAAGCCCTGCTGGCACTGTAAGCCCTGCTGGCACTGTAAGCCCTGCTGGCACTGTAAGCCCTGCTGGCACTGTAAGCCCTGCTGGCACTGTAAGCCCTGACGGCACTATAAGCCCTGCTGGCACTGTAAGCCCTGACGGCACTATAAGCCCTGCTGGCACTATAAGCCCTGCTGGCACTGTAAGCCCTGCTGGCACTGTAAGCCCTGCTGGCACTATAAGCCCTGCTGGCACTGTAAGCCCTGCTGGCACTGTAAGCCCTGCTGGCACTATAAGCCCTGCTGGCACTATAAGCCCTGCTGGTACTGTAAACCCTGCTGGCACTGTAAGCCCTGCTGGCACTGTAAGCCATGCTGGCACTGTAAGCCCTGCTGGCACTGTAAGCCCTGCTGGCACTGTAAGCCCTGCTGGCACTGTAAGCCCTGCTGGCACTGTAAGCCCTGCTGGCACTATAAGCCCTGCTGGCACTGTAAGCCCTGCTGGCACTGTAAGCCCTGCTGGCACTGTAAGCCCTGCTGGCACTGTAAGCCCTGCTTACACTGTAGTGAATACCACCACGCCTGCTGTTGGTACGATTCATGTGGAGCCATTCCCTTTGCACTTTTCCTCGTGCGAGTATCTTTCCTCTCTCTTGTAGCACAAGTCCTCTCGCTGCTTTCGATACTCGTAAAGAATATAATTCTTCCTCCGTGCTTTCCTTCTCTTGCAAGGTCACTCGCTACAAGCTACTTCTCTCTAGAATCACAGTAAGACACACAGAGATTCGATTCTTGCCGTTTGCCTTGTGTTGTGCAGATCACCCTATACAACAACTTGCTTTCTCTCTCGCCGCAGCAGCACGAGCAGGCTTTTGTCTTCCTCGCCTTCTTCCAAGTGAGCCCGCAGCCACAGCCCTCGTTCTTCCGTACGGCCCTCGTTTTAAGCAGCTGCTAGGGTGTTCTCATCTGCGCTAGAGTGCAGCTTGTTGCGTGGTGGTGATGCTGTGATTGAGGAGGCTTTTGTGAAGACTGGAGCATGGCTGGATGGTACCACTGTGGCACATCCTCTTGTTCATCCTTGCCTCTCCTTCCCTCTGCTGCCTATCCTTGCCTCTGCTGCCTATCCTTGCCTCTGCTGCCTCTCCTTCCCCCTGCTGCCTCTCCTTGCCTCTTCCTTGCATATGGTAACAGAGGGAGGTGGCAACGCACATGGCAATGGTCATCAACGACCCCTTCCCTGACTTTAGCATCAACGACCTTTTCAGCAGCGTCTTCAAGGTGAGGCAACAAGCACTGCTGTAACGCCTTCAGCTTCTCCCCTTTGAGTGCTTACATGCTGCGCCGGTGTGATGTGATTCATGTGCTGCACTCATTCCTTCTGAGGCTTTTCACAACTGTGATGTGATTCGTGACTAACACACTCATTCCCAGTGCTGCTTTCAATCATCAAACAAGCGTCCTTCTCCTTCCCCCCCCTCTCTCCCTTCTCTCCCTTCTCTCCCTCGGCAGGAGGGGTGGGCGCGTACGTTCCACCCAGCACAAGTGGTGCAGAGAGGCTATGCCATGCTCGCGGATTCCCACGCCCTCCTCTCCTCCCTGCAGCGCCGCCAGCTGCTTCTCGTGCAGCGAGCTGAGGAGGAGGAGCGAGAAGAGGAAGAGAGGAAGAGGAAAGAGAGGAGGGCAGGGAGGAGGAAGGGGGTCGGAGCAGGGGTTTCCTTGGCTGATAGGAAGAGGGAGCTGCTGAGGTGGGCGGATTCGATTGGCCGGCGCGTGCATTACAATGTAACGGGGTTTGTGGGGAACCCGAGGCAGCAGCGGGCGGCCGGGTTGGCTGCACTTGAAATAATGCAAAGAGTGAGGGGGGCGTGGG